TTTTTGAGATGGAGTTTCACTCTTGTTGCCCAGGCTGGAGTGCAGTGGCACCATTTCAGTTCACTGCGACCTCCGCCTCCTAGGTTCAAGCGATTCTCCAGCCTCAGCCTCCTGGGTAGCTGGGGTTACAGGCATGCATACCACACCCAGCTAATTTTATATTTTTAGTAGAGATGGGGTTTCTCCATGTTAGTCAGGCTGGTCTCAAACTCCTGACCTCAGGCGCCTGCCTCGGCCTCCCAAAGTGCTAGGATTATGGGGTGTGAGCCACTGCGCCCAGCCCTCTTCCCCCACTCCCCCCCCCCTTTTTTTTTTAAATAAGGGCATTAATTTCATCGTAGGGGCTTCACCCTCATGACCTCATCCAACCCTAATGACCTCGTAAAGGCTTCACCTCCAGATACCACCATGTTGAAGATTAGGGCTTCAATGTGTATGTTTGAGATGGGAGTGGGGGTGAGATGTTTGGTCCATAACACTGTATGTCTTAAAATTACTGTTTAAGGTACCATTCACCTCCGGAAAAGGATTCTTCACCTGGAAGTTCATCAACAAGCTTGTTGATAAAAAAGCAAAGAGAGACTTCAGACATGCCTATCATGAGAGCTTTGAAAGAAGTTGATGAAGGAAAAATATTTAAAAATTGGGGGACACAGACAGAGAAAGAGGACACCTCAAATAGTGAGTATTTCCATGTTTGAGATAGACGGATATAGATATATTTTCCCCATTTATATTATCTTCTTTCCAATTAAAATCTTTAGGTAATGAAATTAAAAGTTTTAACTCTGTAAACTTGCTATTTTCCTGCTACTTCAGCCTCGTTTCATAGATAATTGAATGTCCTAGTTAAATAATTTATCACAGTTCTGGCATAACATGTACCTTTTGTACAAAGTAAACTGCATATTACATTCTGATTATGAAAGAGGCTTACATGGCATTCTGGTTTTTTTTTGTTTGTTTGTTTGAGATAGTCTTGCCCTTTCACCCAGGCTGAAGTGCAGTGTGCTACACAGCTCAATGCAAACTCCACTTCCCGGGTTCAAATGACCCTCCTGCCTCAGCCTCCCCAGTACCTGGAATTATAGGTGCCCTCTACCATAGTCAGCTAATTTTAGTATTTTTAGCAGAGACGGAGTTTCACCATGTTGGCCAGGCTGGTCTCGAACTCTTGGCTTCAAGTGATTCACCCACCTTGGCCTCTCAAAGTATTGGATTACAGTGGTGAGCCACTGCTCCTGGCCTTACATGGCATTCCTAAGGATATTTGAGACATTTCTGTCAGTTTGTCTTACTTGCACACAGCAGAAAGCTGTGATAGGCATTTGGTATTTATGAAGTAAGATATAATATTTCCTATTCTTTCTTCCCTTTCTTAGTTACTGAGCATCTGTAGATAAGGCAAGCAGCGTCTTTAATACTGTGTTTTTTCACAGGTCCAGGTCACCAATATGTTTCTTTCCTTTTCCTCTATGCTTGCTTGCTCAGACCCCTTAGTCATTCTATTAGTGTCTTTGGGGTTACATCTCCCAGTGTCATAGCAGATAAATTAGTAACCTGCTTTCTAAAAATAACCCTCTTGAAAAATCACCTTCAATGCCAATTGTAAACAGGGAACCAGAATGAATTCATTTAAAACTCCCACATTTTTCTTCATCAAACATTTTTTATCATTATAATGCGGAGCATTTGCAAATAGTCATATAACCTAGCCGGTAAGAATAAATGCTTTGAGCAGAACCTAAGCTGTGTAGAGGACCTGGCTTGGTGTGTAACCACCTGTTAATAAAGGTGGATAACTGAAGCTTAGGCTTGTTTTGATGTGTTTTTTTTGGTCTGCTGTAGAATTAGCAAATCCTCGGCAAACTGAAAGTTCAGTCTTTGCAAGTCGTTCTCCAGAAAAGTGTGCCCAACAGAGACAAAAGAGACTTAATTCAGCCTCACAGAGATCATCATCTTTACCACCTTCAAATCGTAAATCAAGTACTCCAAGTAAGAGTTGGATGTGTACATCTTTTGGGTTCAAAAGTGTGACCTCTGAGCTGTGCCTGCTATTTGCCCATTTCCTGTTTCTGTTGTATCCTTAGCACCCTAGTAGAGTACTCTGAGCAGAGGACCCCTAAATAAGATCTTGTTCATAAATGAATTTGTCTGATCACACAGATACTACAAATATAAATGAAGAAATCTGCTTATTAAAGAGAGATTTTTTTATTGTGTCCAGTAAATTGTTTGCAACTAATACTTAAAAATACTTCAGAGCTCTAAAGATACTAGACTGCTATCCAAACATTAATTCAAGCTAGTCTGCAAAAATACTTCTTATATATTTGATCTCAAGTACTCAGCATTAGTCACTATTTTTCTTTAACCAATTACAGGTTTGGTTTTAAAGTTGAAGCACAGGATTTCTGTCCTAAATTTTCATTTTCACACCAGCTAAGGAGATTCTTATTATTGTGTTATAGGAATGTTCAGTAATGTACTGCTGTTTCCATCTTATTTCCAGTCGACTTCTAAAATCCTGAAAAACCAGTTTTCAGTCAGAGTGCTGAAAGTACAGTCTGATATACTACAGTGTTACAGTGGTTACCTCTGAGTGTGAGGATTATGAGTGATTTTACTTTTTTGTATACTCATTTCTCTCTCAAAGTTTTACATTGAAATTATATTCCTTTCAAACTTAGAAAAAAAACTGATAAACTGTTATGCTGATATATGTAGAAGGAAAAGAATATTTTCTCATTTTCTCTATAGCAAAAAGAGAGATTATGCTAACACCAGTGACTGTGGCTTATAGTCCAAAGCGATCCCCTAAAGAAAACTTGTCCCCAGGATTTAGTCATCTGCTTAGCAAAAATGAAAGCAGTCCAATTCGGTAAGTTCTCTAAAATTGTAGAATAAAGTTCACTATATCAGTGATTTTTTTTTTTTTCCAAATGCTGACTTATGTCTCTAGCTATCACTGATTTTTCACTTATCAGTGGGAACTCTGCGGTTTTCATTTAAATCATAAGTGAATGTCATACTACAGCTAAAGTACTACAGTACAATGAACACAGTTTTTAATTATGTAAACTTGCTGCTACTAGATTTTAAATATCACCTCAGCACGCCATTCAGGTTTTGTATGTAGAATGATAGTTCTTTGTTTTCCTGAAAAGGTTTATGATACAGGAAAACTTCTGGGCCATTTGTACAGGAAAGTAGGCTTTACTGGTATGGCCCTGGCACCAAATACATGTTTACCTGTGCTGCTGAGACATTGTCCCCTCCGACGTGTAAGCAGCTGTGCGTGCTGTTGGTGGGGAAGGATATTGCTTCTTGGTTCTAGACCCAACTCCGACAGGCTCTTGGGGAGATGAGTTAAGCACATTGAACCTCAGTTTCCTCTTCTATAAAACGGGGATAATAATAACAACCCTGCTTATTTCATAAGGTTTTTATAATGAGATAATGTATGGGTGTTTTAAGTCTTTAGTATGTAAATGCAATTTTGTTAGAAATTAGAAATGAAATTTCAGTTTTAGAAAATTATATAACCAGCTTTCTTTTAAGAAAATACATAAATATGTGAGTTAGCTGGATGCCAGCTCATCTTTCTAGTGGAGATAGGGAAAATCAGTTAACATTTTTTTCTCACAAGTAACTTGCTTCATTCAATAGATTTGATATACTTTTGGATGATTTAGATACTGTTCCTGTGTCAACATTACAACGTACCAATCCAAGAAAGCAACTCCAGTTTCTTCCTCTAGATGACTCGGAAGGTACCTTTTCCTAAAAAATATTAGTTATGGTTTTAGTCATTCATTTTTTGAGATTCTGGTATCTCTCAATGTTCTAAATATTATAATATCCTGCACTTAAATATTTTCCTACTTAAGAGCCTCTGAAACTAAGCACTCATGATGCTGTGTGTTGTTATGTCAATGTTGTTATCCTCATTGAAAAGTTGGGAAACTGAGGTACAGGGAATGTTGATATTTAATTACCAGGGCCATACTGTTCAGTTATTCTCTTTACTTTTATTCTCTATATGCAGCATAGGCTTTGGGTAACCTTTTTTTCTCATTTATATTCTAAATATGGAATAAAGCTATAAGACAATGTATATGAAATCACTTGGGTAGGCCCTCAAAATGTTAAATGTTTAGTGTTAGTGTATGTCCACTAAGTGTGATGTATTAGTTTTTAAACTTCTTTTTTTTTTTTTGCTTTAAGTTTACTTAAAGTTAATTTACGTTTACATGAAGTTTGCTTAAGTTCATTAAGGGAAGTTGTGAAGATTGTCAGAGGGCAAGGCTTTTCTTTGGAGAAAAAAGCACTGAGTAAATGTGATTGATTATTATTATCTCTTTTCAATGCTTTTTTGGACCATATAGCAGCTATGTCCAGAAAGTTAAATTGGGCAACATATTTAATATGTATGCAATCTACTGGAAAAATAGATAAGAAATATAAGCAATTCTTTCCTCTCTGACAGAAAAAACATATTCTGAGAAAGCCACCGATAACCATGTTAATCATAGCTTTTGCCCTGAACCGTTGCCAAATGGAGTGAAGAAAGTATCTGTGAGAACTGCCTGGGAGAAGAATAAATCAGTTAGCTATGAACAGTGTAAGCCGGTTTCAGTAACTCCACAGGGGAATGAGTTTGAATATACCGCAAAAATTAGGACCCTAGCTGAAACAGAACGATTTTTTGATGAACTTACAAAAGAAAAGGACCAGGTAAAAACCAACAAATATTTTAAAAAAATTGTTTTCTGAACTTAATGCTTATGTCTAAGGAGAAGGAAATTATTGAGTCAAACCTGTCTTAGGATATTACAATGGGATAGCATATCAGAGCTGTGCTAGCCACGGATTTGAGCCATGTGGTTGTTACTAATTGACAGAGGGAAATTAAGTTGAGATGAAATGGACAAGGAAATACTAAGCCAAAATCTTTTCTTTCCATTCTGTGTGACAAACCTCCCTGCCAGTAATTTAAACATATTTTTTTCGTTGTGTTAACAGATTGAGGCAGCACTAAGCAGGATGCCTTCTCCTGGAGGACGAATCACTTTACAGACAAGATTAAATCAGGTGAAATGTCTTAGCTTGAATCTGCTTTAGATGCTTGATGCCAGTCAGTGTTCCATTTATCTAAGAGGGGTTTAAAAAATCATGGTACAGTGAAAATTAGACACACTGAAGTAGCAGTCAAAACTTTTAGCTTTTACGGAAGTGTTTGATTATAGCAATTTTATAACTGCAAGCTAGCTTTCGGGAATAAAAATTAATTTTACCTTTAGACTTGGAGAAGAAGGTGTTCTGCCTTTGTATTTTCAAGAAAGTAACTTGAGAGCAAATGGCAATATGCTTTTCAACAGATTTTACACTAAGTTAGTGCTCACAGATTGCCTCCCTTTTTGCTTGATTTCTCTCTTTGCAAATCTGTAATTTATTTCTGAACTTCTTTCCATTAGCAAGCATATAAAATGGTTACACTTTGCAAATTCAATAGCTGTAGAGGTTTAAACAGTGAACTGTGGGCCGGGCGCAGGGGCTCACGCCTGTAATCCCAGCACTTTGGGAGGCTGAGGCAGGTGGATCACCTGAGGTCAGGAGTTCCAGACCAGCCTGGCCAACATGGTGAAACCCTGTTTCTACTAAAAATACAAAAATTAGCTGGGTGGTAGTGGTGGGTGCCTATAGTCTCAGCTATTCAGGAGGTTGAGGCAGGCAGGAGAATCACTTGAGCCTGGGAGGTGGAGGTTGCAGTGGGCCAAGATGGCACCACTGCCCTCCAGTCTGGGGGAGAGAGTGAGACCCTGTTTCAAAAAAAAAATGGAGAGCTGTGAGCTGTGATTCCATTGTTGAGCAAGAGGTGGTGCAGGCGATGTGGCCCATGTGCATTTCTTTTAGTTGCTTTTCAAAGAGAATTAAAATACAGGAAACCATGGGACATTTAAAATCGGCTCTTTTAGGAACAGTAACATTTTAAACATAATAGCAAGTGTGTATCTCTTCTAAAACCACGTTTTGGCATCCCATTGCCTTTACTTCAGTAAAAGTTAATTTTCAGATCTGTGATACCAGAAAGACAAAACAGCGAGAACTTTTCCTGGGGCGAATACCCCAACTTACTTATTTATTTTTTTTGAGACGGAGTCTCGCTCTGTTGCCCATGCTAGAGTGCAGTGGTGCGATCTCAGCTCACTGCAGCCTCCGCCTCGCGGGTTCAAATGATTCTCCTGCCTCAGCCTCCCGAGCTGCTGGGACTACAGGCACGCAGCACCACACCCAGCTAATTTTTGTATTTGTTTTGTTTTGTTTTTTGAAATGGAGTCTTTCTGTCACCCAGGCTAGAGTGCAGTGACACTGCAACCTCCGCTTCCCAGGTTCAAGTTATTCTTCTGCCTCAGCTTCCCGAATAGCTGGGATTACAGGCCCCCGCTACCATGCCCAGCTAATTTTTGCACTTTTAGTAGAGGTGGGCTTTCACCATGTTGACTGGGCTGGTCTTGAACTCCTGACCTCAGGTGATTCTCCCACCTCAGCCTCCAAAAGTTCTGGGATTACAGGTGTGAGCCATTGCACCCAGCCCCTAACTTTTTTTTTTTTTGTCTTTTTGTTCTGATAAATTAGTCAATAATTTATAAAACTCAGATAACACATGAAATTTATTTATTTATTTTTTTGAGATGAAGTCTCGCCCTGTCACCTAAGTTTGGGTACAGTGGGCCCATCTCGGCTCACTACAATCTCCGCCTCCCAGGTTCAAGTTATTCTCCTGCCTCAGTCTCCCGAGTAGCTGGGATTACAAGTGCGGGTCACCATGCCCAGATAATTTTTTTTTTTTTTTTTTTGTATCTTTAGTAGAGACAGGGTCTCACCATGTTGGCCAGGCTGGTCTTGAACTCCTGACTCGTGATCCATCCACCTCGGCCTCCCAAAGTGCTGGGATTACAGGTGTAAACCACTGTGCCCAGCCATGAAACTTTTTTTTTTTTTTTGAGACAGAGCTTGACTTTTGTTGCCCAGGCTGGAGTGCAATGGCACAATCTTGGCTCACTGCAACCTCTACCTCCCAGGTTCAAGTGATTCTCAGCCTCCTGAGTAGCTGGGTTTACAGGCATGCACCACCACACCTGGCTAATTTTGTATTTTTAGTAGAGGCGGGGTTTTTCCATGTCAGTCCAGCTGGTCTTGAACTCCAGACCTCAGGTGATCTGCCTGCCTTGGCCTCCCAAAGTTCTGGCCAATATGTTTTTATATAATGAATAGCATAAATTTGTTCTGACTCTCAAAATAAGACTTAATGGGGGCCGGGCATGGTGGCTCACTTGAGATCAGGAGTTTGAGACCAGTCTGAGCAACATGGTAAAACCCTGTCTCTATTAAAAATACGAAAATTAGCCGGGCGTGGTGGTGCACACCTGTAATCTTAGCTACTTGGGACGCTGAGGCAAGGAGAATCACTTGAACCCAGGAGACGGAGGTTTCAGTGAGCTGAGATTGCACCATTGGATTCCAGCCTGGGTGACAGAGCAAGATTCCATCTTAAAAAAAAAAAAAAAGTGTCCTGTGCAGTGGCTCACACCTGTAATCTTAGCACTTTGGGAGGCTGAGACGGCCAGATCACAAGGTCAGAAGTTGGAGACCAGCCTGACTAAACATGTTGAAACTCCGTCTCTACTAAAAATACAAAAATTAGCTGGGTGTGGTGGCACGCACCTATAATCCTAGCTGATTGGAAGGCTAGGGCAGGAGAATCACGTGAATCTGGGAGACAGATGTTGCAGTGAACCAAGATTGCACCATTGCACTCCAGCCTGGGTGACAGAGCATGGCTCTGTCTCAAAAAAAAAAAAAAAAAAGAAAATGAGACTTAAAAGGCATTAGGCTAAAAACTGTTTCAATTCAGTAAGAAGACAAGTAGCAGCAACAAGGGGCTGATGATGCTCTTGTGTGATTCATAAACTGGGCCAAAAGATGAAAAGTTATGTCTCACTAATGAATAAAAGTGATACACGTTTAAACATGTTTTCTTGGGCCAGATGCAGTGGTTCACACCTTTAATCCTAGCACTTTGGGAGGCCAAGGCGGGAAGATCTCTTGAAGCCAGGAGTTTGAGGCTGCAGTGAGCTATGATCACACAACTGCCCTCCAGCTTGAGTGACAGAGTGAAACCCTGTCTCTGTAAAAAGCAAAAAACAAAACAAAAAAACACCATGGCTGGGCTCATGCCTGTAATCATAGTGGCCCATGCTTGTAATCCCAGCCCTTTGGGAGGGAGAGATGGGAGGATGGCTTGAGCCCAGGAGTCTGAGACCAGCCTGGGCAACATAATGAAACCTTGTCTCTACAAAAAAAAGATTAGCCAAGACAGCCCCACACCTTTTAAAAACCTATAACTTTGGCAGGTTTTTTTGTTTTTCTTTTTTTAGCCATAACATTAGCACACAGTATTTTTTTCTTTCTTTTTTGCAGGGGGCGGGTGGGGGGGAGACGGAGTCCTGTTGCGATGCCCAGACTGAAATATAGTGTCACCATCTCGGCTCACTGCAACCTTCACCACCCGGGTTCAAGTGATTCTCATGCCTCAGCCTCCCAAGTGGCTAGGACTGCAGGAGTGTGCTACCATACCCAGCTAATGTTTTGTATTTTTAGTAGAGATGGGGTTTTGCCATGTTGACCAGGCTGGTCTCGAACTCCTGACCTCAGATGATCTGCCCGCCTTGGCTGCCCGAAGTGCTGGGATTACAGTCATGAGCTACCACGCCCGGCCATGGCAGGTTTTGTTTTTTTTTTGTTTTTTTTTTTAAGAAAAAGGTTTCAGGATGGAGAAGAGCTTATCTTCATACACTGCAGGTGGAAGTAGAAATTGTCTCAAACATGCTGGGTTACAACTTGATATATATCCAGAGCCTTAGAAATTTGCATTTCTTTGGACCTGGCATTTTTATTTCTGGGAATGATTCCTAACGCAGTACTTATATGTGCAAAGAGATATGTTTAAGAACTTTATTGCAGCCTTATTTATGATATCCAAAATTAGAAGCAACCCAAATTTCTACTAAAAGATTCTTGGTTAAATATGTTACTGCTGATGGAATATTGTATATTAACTTAAAAGGATGTTATACAAGGGTATTTTATAACATGAAAAGTTCAATTGAAAGATTTTTTTTGTTTTGTTTTTTGAGACTGACTCTCCCTCTCAGGCCAGAGTGCTGTGGCTCAATCTCGGCTTACTGCAACCTCCACCTCCTGGGTTTAAGTGCCACCTTGCCCGGCTAATTTTTATATTTTTAGTAGAGATGGGGGTTTCACTACCTTGGCCTGGATGGTCTTGAACTCCTGACCTCAAGTGATCTGCCTGCCTCAGCCTCCCAAAGTGCTGGAATTACAGGCATGGGCCACCATGCCCGGCCTAATTGAAAGATATTTTGAGGCCGGGCAAGTGGCTCATGCTTGTAATCCCAGCACTTTGGGAAGCTGAGGCAGGCGGATCACTTGAGGTCAGGAGTTCGAGACCAGCTTGGCCAACATGGTGAAATGCTGTCTCTACTAAAAATACAAAAATGTTAGCCAGTTGTGGTAGTGCGCCTGTAATCTCAGCTACTCGGAGGCTGAGGCAGGAGGTTCGCTTCAACCCGAGAGGTGGAGGTTGCAGTGAGCCAAGATTGTGCCACTGCACTCTAGCCTGGGCAACAGAGTGAGACTCTGTCTCACAAAACAACAACAACAACAACAACAACAACAAAATTTGAAATAGAGTTTGATTCTCTTCTTAGGTTTCTTTCTTTCTTTCTTTCTTTCTTTTTTGAGACAGTGTCTCTCTGTTGCCCAGAAGACCGTCTGGAGTATAGTGGCGCAATCTCGGCTCAGTGCAGCCTCCGACTCCAGGGTTCAAGCAATTCTCCTGCCTCAGCCGCCTGAGTAGCTGGGATTACAGGTGTGCGCCATCACACCTGGCTGTATTTTTGGTAGAGATGGGGTTTCACCATGTTGGTGAGGCTGGTCTCAAACTCTTGACCTCGTGAACCACCTGCCTTAGCCTCTCAAAGTGCTGGGATTACAGTTGTGAACCACCATGCCTGGCCAGTTTCTTTTTTAATTTTTTTGAGACATGGTCTCACTCTGACTCAGGCTAAAGTGCATTGGCACAATCATAGCTCACTGTAGTCTTAACCTCTGAGGCTCCAGCAGTTCTCCCACCTCAGCCCCTTGAGTAGCTAGGACTATAGGCATGTACCACCACACCTGGCTAATTTTTAAAATTTTTTTGTAGAGGCAGGGCCTCATTGTGTTGCCCAGGCTTGTATCGAACTTCTGGCCGCAAGTGATTCTCCCACCTTGGCCTCACAAAGTGCTGGGATTACAGGCATGAGCCACCATGCTTGGCTTTATTTTTCTTTTTAAAAATGGTATGCGTGCAGTGGCTCATGCCAGCACTTTGGGAGGCCAAGGTGGGCAGATCATCTGTGGTCAGGAGTTCAAGACCAGCCTGGCCAATATGTTGAAACATCTGTCTCTACTAAAAATATAAAAATTAGCCAGGCATGGTGGTAGGCTCCTGTAATCCCAGCTACTCAGGAGGCTGAGGCAGGAGAATTGCTTGAGCGAGGCAGAGGTTGCAGAGAGCTAAGATTGTGCCACTGCACTCCAGCTTGGGTGACAGAGCGAGACTCCATCTCCCCCTCAAAAAAAGAAAAAAAAGTGATATGCATATATATGTATGCAGAAAAAAATAGGAAAGAGGAACAGTTATTTCCTTTTGCTTATTTGTCTTCTAAATTTTCTATATTCTAAGCGTTTTATAATGAATCCTTTTGTAATTAAAGCTAAAGAAAAAATTTAAGCTTTATTTCAGGACACCATTGGAATTAATACTGAATAAATTATCTAAAATAAAGCTGGGTTCGGTGGCTTATGTCTATAATCCCAGGACTTTGGGAGGCTGAAGTGGTTGGATCATTTGAGGCCAGGAGTTCAAGACCAGCCTGGGTGACATAGTGAGACCTTGTCTCTAAAAAAAAAAAAAAGTTTAAAATCAGCCAGATATGGTGGTGCCTGCCTTTAGTTTCAGATACTCGAGAGGCTGAGGTGGGAGGATTGCTGGAGCCCAGGAGTTTGAGGCTATAGTAAGCTATGATCGTGCCACTGCAGTCCAGCCTTGGGTGACAGAGGACGACCCTGTCTCAACAAAAACACAAAAGTATCTATAATGATATATAGTCTAGGTACTATTTAACAGTAATATTGTTGATTTTAAAATAGCAATTGTTAGGTCAATTCATTGTCAAATCTTTTTTTTTTTTTTTTTTTTTTTTTAAAAAATTTTTTTTTTTTTTTTTTTTTTTTTTTTTTTTTAACTTAGAAATTTTCTTGAGGAGAAAGTTATTTGATCTATGTATGTATGTGTGGGATGCAGCACTGATCAGATGTGTCCGTTTCTTCTGGTAAAATGCGTGAAGCCCCTCCTGGGCTTCTCTTGTACTGTTCTCACTTCAGCAAAGCCAAAGAATTATCCCCTTCCAGTTGGTTGTATTGCTATTACTAGAGTTTCCATATACTCCATGTGCCAAACATACTGAGAATACTTTAAAGTGCAGCAGTTATTTTGAATGGTTGAAAAGCTGGTTTATATTGTTCAGTTGAGAAGAAGTCATAAGATGATTTGTGTTGAAAGCAAAAAAATAATTGTAATTTTAATGTTTATACTTGCTCTTTTGCTAAAAGAAAGGTCAGTTTGGTGGTGATTATAGAACTTGATGCAGAATTCTAATTAAACTTTTCCCATTGTTTTCATCTAGGAAGCCTTGGAAGATCGTTTGGAAAAGATTAACCGAGAACTGGGCTCAGTTCGCATGACGCTAAAGAAATTCCATGTTTTGCGCACCTCTGCAAACCTTTGAGATTTGTAGCCATTAAATTTTGAGATGTTTTTGTTTGCACTAATGTATAATTATGCGGTCAGAAAAGGCAAACTATTTTGTACTGTTTATAGGCCTTCAAACAGTAGTTTTACAATCATGCTATTCTTACACTTGCTATTTTATACTTCAAATGGCCACATATTTTCAAGATATTTTTGTTATGCTCAGGAATCTCTTGTATATTTTACTATTTAAAAAGTATTATTTTTAAATAGTATATGTCTCCAATTTATATCAATAAGAAAATGTAAGTGGGGAGGCAGCTTGTTTCTAAACAAATAGTGTTATCCTTTTACAATTAACTTTGCACACCAATTTTATAAACTTGTTCTACATTGTAAATACGATTCATTTTTAAAAAAATAAAGCTTAAGGGCTGGGCGTGGTGGCTCACGCCTGTAATCCAACCACTTTGGAGGCCAAGTCAGGCGGATCACCTGAGGTCGGGAGTTCAACACCAGCCTGACCAACAAGGTGAAACCCCGTCTTAAAAAAAATAAATAAATAAACCTTAATAGCTTCCCTAATGATAGACTATTAGACGTTGAATACATAAAAAAACAATTACAGTGTATCTTGGATTTCAGTTGTGTTCAGGTTTTTAAAAAATGATAATGCAATTCCTATTTGAAACATGTCTTAGAGTGAATATCAGCATGGTAATAATGGACTATTGGAAAGCTTTGAAAACTGTGAATATAACTTATTTTGTTTTCTTTAAACTTTATTGTTTGTAAGAAAAATGAGAGGGATTGTAATTCTCTAATTTTATCTTTCTAAAAAATTTAAACAATTGGAGAGGCATATAGCTCTCTGGCCATTGTTCTGAATTAACTTGTGTCCCACCCTGGACAATAAATGGACAGATAAAAAACCCTTTGAAATACAAGCCCGCCACCCCGTGAGGGATTAAGAGAACAGCCTGGTTTTCTTAGCGTGTATGACTTCAGCTGTCTGTCAGAGTTGTCATCTGGACATGTTCACCCCTTTCCAGGCCCTTTCATCCTGGCCAAAAAGAGAAATAAATACTTCCATTGTAGGTGCTGTAAGAACACTATGCTTTAGATCATCACAATCTACTCTATTTGTTAATGGACAGGGAGTGTGTCTGGATGGAGCCTGGTGCCTTCCCCTTGGCTTTGCAGAGTGCTCCAGCCCACTGCCTCTGTGGTAGCCACTGGCTCTCAGAAGTAGTGTGTGGGCAGGAGGCTCTCTGATCCAGGAGCATTGGCAGGTTTGTGTTGGGACTGCTGGTTAAATTGGAGCTGTGTAGCTATAAACTTTTTGGCAGCCAGTCGGAAGAACACAGTGCCCCACATATTCCAGCTTAGTACATGTTGATAAACAAATTCATCCAAACTTTCAAAGTGAATTTGTACTAAACATGCTCATGTTTTAAATTTTGGTTTGCTTTTGAGCTTTTCCTCTTTATGTGGCTCTTAATAATAAGTAGTTAGACTGAACCAAGCCATCTCAGTTATTCCAAGCAGGATCTCAAATGATCTTTGAGTGTCCTTCACCCGAGTTTCACCACAGCCCTGCTCCCTTCTTAGCAAGGAGGGCGGCCTGTCTTTGCTCCCTACTCTTGCAACTTTTGAAGACTTCAGGCTAATCAAAATTACTTATAATTAGAATCAAGTGCCTTTATTTATTTTTTTAAGACAGAGTTTTCCCCTTGTTTCCCAGGCTGGAGTGTAATAAAGCAATCTCAGCTCACTGCAACCTCTGCCTCTTGGGTTCAAGCAATTCTCCTGCCTCAGCCTCCCGAGTAGCTGGGATTACAGGCACCTCCCACCACGCCAGGCTAATTATGTGTGTGTGTGTGTGTGTGTGTGTGTGTGTGTGTGTGTGTGTGTGTGT